GGACGGATACGTGGATGACGTGGACGATGACTCAGCACGACGTGGCGATGACGTGGTCTGACATGGAGCTGACGTGGCGGCTGACGTGGCGCTGACGTGGCTCGTCTTCTTCCTCTGGACTGCGTGATGACGCAGTGATGATGCAGGCAGTTTCAGGCTGCGTTTGGGCGGCGCGTACGGCCTCTTCCGGTGGCCAAAAAATTCCCCAAAAATACCAGATTTCCCGTCTCGACGAGACGAATCGAACGGTATGATCAGATCGTGATTCCGAGCAACTTCAAAAATCACGATTTTCTAACCCGTAGAAATTTATCTGAAAATGAGAAAACAGTGTATGGAAACTCAACCTCGCTCTGATACCACTTGTTGGGATTGGAAAATTCTTCTATTCAATATCAAGAATAGAATTACAATAGGAGGAGCAAACTCTCACACTCAACTATTACAAAAAATCAATCCTCACCAATACACTTCTACTCTAAGTGTATTTCACTCTTCACACACTTTTCTCACTTTCTAAAACTGATACTATGAACAACAATAGAACACTCTATTTATAGGCTACTATGGAGACAAGAGGAAGTTGCATCCAAGCTTCCTAATTATCTCCATATCTTCTCCCATGCCTATTTGTTGGAGAGCTCCTTCCATGAAGGTGTGAGATGTCTCTTGGCAACTTCCAAGAAAGAAGGTGGAAATTCCCTACAGTTTAGTCTTGCTCCTGTCTCTTTGCTCTATTAGTTAGAGTTTCATTACTCAATATGATACAATTCATGATTCAAAATAGGTAAGCCGAATTTAGGATTCGATACTCATTAGAATACCTGCTTTTGGTGGCACATTCGATTTTTTTCAAACTATAAGTCTATAATTGATTATCAAAACTGAGTATTTTCTTTTTAAAAAAAAACTAAATAGCTTCGAACCTCAAATTTTTTAATTTTATGCTTTTTAATTTTTTCTTGACCACATTATGTCTGGTTTATCTTCAATATATGCCATTGAACTTCAATGGGGAATTATTACTTTATCTTATTTTTAAAATTATTTTATCTAACAAGTCAAATCTTACACCTCATTTTTTCTTGAGGCTTACCTCTCATGAGGCCAAGGCCAACCACCTTGAGTCCCAACTTTGCCTTTCAAAACCTTGCGGGAAAGGGGATAGGTAGGCCATCACTCTCTATTTTTTCTTTGCTTTTTTATCCGTTGGAAAAAGATTAGGAGGTAAAGACTTGAGGCTATGATAGAGAGCAGGGAGAGCAGGGGGCGGGAACAGGCTTGGGCACACTTTTGTTGCCTCGTTGTGAGCTAGGATTATAGTTTTATTTATTATTAAAACGCTGCCCTCGTTTGAAGAAGAAGACTCGATCGGCTAGGTTGATAGGGCTGAGCAACCGTTCAAACTGAACTGTACTCCGCCAGGAAAGAAGGTGGCAGCCATTTTATTTGCGATGGAAGGGTCAGTCGTATACTGTTTTGAGCTTACACATGTGTTGATGGCTCATTTTGACTCACGGCATAGCATTCGAGTGCTTGTTTTGTGGTCAGAAACAGGGAACCACGGTTAAATGGTACGGCCTTGGTTATTTCTTTAGGTTACAACTAAATGAAATTGTTGCAGGTTTATCTGCAATGCCTCGTTGTCAGATGCGAGTGGCTGCATTCCTGTGACTCTTTTCACAAGCGATATTTTGCGCCTGTTTGAGTTTGTTGGTATGAACCCCGACACTGATATGGACTTGCAGGCTTTGGATACAAGACTCCAATCGGTGATGGTAATTGTTATCCTATAAAATTTACCCTTCAGTCTGGTCGGCATACCTCTATCACATAGAAATCCTGACGCACTCTTCCACTTCATCCACCCTGTTCTGATTCTATGGTATACATCTCCATTTAGCTCACCGTCTTGAATTATGGAGCCCAAGTAACGAAACATATCACTGACCGGTATCTCCTTACCATCTAGAGTAATTCCAATATTACCACTGCTTCTACCTCCACCAAACTTGCACTCCATGTACTCTGTCTTGCTCCGACTTAGTCTGAAACCTTTGTTCTCCAAAGTTTGTCACCATACTTCCAACTTTGCTTTAAGACCTGATTGCGTCTCATCAATCAATACAATATTGTCGGCAAACATCATGCACCACGGTATTTCGTCTTGAATTGACTTCGTAAGTTCATCCATGATTATGACAAATAAGAAAGGGCTCAGAGCCGATCCTTGGTGTACTCCGATAGTAATAGGGAACCTCCGCAATCCTCCCTACATTAGTACGAACATTTGTAGTACAATCCTCATACATATCCATGATGATGCGGATATACTTGCGTGATATGCCTTTTCTAGATAAGGCCCGCCAAAAAACTTCTCGAGGTACCCTAACATTGAGACATGAGGAGGTGGTGTGGTTATTAAGAAAAATGAGTTTGTGGTTGATATTGAATTGATAAAGTATGAATAAAGTAATAATGATTTAGAATCACACACATTTTACCAAATTTAGTACTCCCTCTGTCCCGCTAAGATTGTCCCAGACACTATTTACCTGGTCAACACAAATTACTCTTAATCTCTTACTTGATATTAAATGTTTGTCAAATTTGATTCTGGTTTTGCGACTTTCTAAAGTTTTTAATGTAGTTTCTGATTATGTAATTTTTTTGTCTAAAAATAATTTGAGTACGGGCAGGGATCTGTTTGCTTTATCGCCGGTCAAGCATCATAAACCGAATTGTCTCAAACATAGTGGGACGGAGAGAGTATGAGACAATTTTAGTGCGACGGACAGAAAAAAAGATGGTACAATATTAGGAGTGCAATTTTGTTCACCCCCTCTAAGGAGGGTGAACATCACCCCTTCCCTCATTTGTTGCCATGTGGCTTTCCATCCTCTTTTTTTCTTTATATTAATTTAACTTTTTATTTATTGTCCAAATTTTATAAAAAAATATATCAGATTTAATAACTTTTTAAGATCTTTTCGGTGGTATCAATATTGTATTGAAAAAAGTTGGACAAAAAAATCGTTTTCTTACAAATATTCATTTGTAGATGGATTTTTTTTTTAATTTTTTATTGCAATATTGGTACCATATGAAAGGTCTTTAAAAAATAAAAAATTTGATATAGTTTTTTAAAAAAGTGGGATTAAAAATGAAAAAGTTAAAACAATTGCCAAATAGTTAAGAATTGTCTTGCCACATGGCAAGCAATTAGGGTGGGGGTTGTACATCACCCTCTTTTGTGAGGGTGAGCAAAATTATTCTCCAATATTAACGTGACGGGGGGAGTAGATAATATATTTTTTATTTTGATATATGCAACATTGGTGTAATCCATCGATTCAACTTGAATTAATTAATAATTTTAATAGTACTAGCTCCGTTTTAAAAATCATTCTAAGCGTCCGACTAGTCCCCGCCTAGGCGCTAGGCGGTGTGGTTGGGGGCCCCGATTTTCGCCTAGGCGCTCCGACTAATTGGTTAGTCGTCTAGGTGAATTAGTCGGCTGTCTATGGCGTCTAGTTTCCCACCTAGAGCGCTTAATTGACCGCCTATGACGCCTAGTTGCCCGCCTAGAGCGCCTAATCGACCGCCTAGGCCGTCTAGATTCGCCGAACATTACATACTTTTTAATTTAAATTTTCTAAGCGTCATACGTACTTTAACTTTAATCATGAATATAAAGAAATGAAGTTGTAAATTAAGAGAAACCTATATATGTTTGTATATATATAGAAATTTTATCATTATTTATATTTATAACATAACGAAGTTAATTGATTAGTTATCATATACTACGTATGATTAAGGGTGTTTTTACTTGGACTGTAATTTGTCCTAGACCAGACCAGACTAGACTTGGATAGTTATAAAAATACAAAGAAACCAGACATTACCAGAGCAGATCAGACCAGCAAGTTACAGTCCAAGTAAAAACATCCTAAATGTGATAATTCTATTATTCGTGTTTGTTAATATATATGTATATATGTATTTTATACACACAAGAATACAATATTACTTATAATATTTACGCAAAAATATATGAGTAGGTAAAAATGCAATTTCAATGTCTCCAATTAGTCCCCGACTAGGTGCTCGCCTAGCTGCCTAGGCGCTAGGCTGACGTCTGACTAGCGCCTAACGCCTTTTAGAACATTGAGTACTAGTAATAAAACTTTTGTAACAAATAAAAGACTAACACATCAATGATTTTAAATTCTATTTTCCTATATAAAACAGTAGATTTGAAATGAAAGAAGAAAATCCTGGTAAAAAAGTCAACATGCAAACGCATAGAAAATGAAAACTTCTAGGTTAAATTTAAAAAAAAAATCGAATTTAATTAAAAAAACATTAAAAAAGTAGTGCATAAATGTAAAACAAACGTATACGTGATACGTACGGAGTATATTATGTAATGGAGTACGATGGTATTACGTAATATATTACGTAATACAAACGTATATGTACGTCATATAATGTAATGAGGAGGGCTGCTTGAGTCAGGCGGCGTGACCGGACAGCTCCGTGCGGCCTTTCCCGTTTGGAGGCTTCCCGGTGGAATTTTTTGAAGAAATTTTTTGAGCGTGTTCCTCATCAAGTTTAGTTTATCAATACCAAATTTCAGCCCAAAATTTAATCAGGAAGGCAGTCAAATAAATTCTTGAAACATACTCGGCATTTTGCACATATATAAAGTGCAGTATGTTTCAATAATCAAGAATTTATTTGATTCTTGATGAGCAACATGTTCAAAACATTTCATCAAAAATTTCCACCGGAAAGGCCCCTAAAAGGGGAAGGCCGCACGGGGCTTCCGGTCAGGCCGGCCTGACTCCAATGGGACTCATCACTCATGTAACGAGTATTGTGTAATATTCGTATATGGTGTAATTAATTTTGTGAAAGCTACTTACCGCGCGCGGCCTCTGGGCTCTGTCAATATATATATATTGAACGAAGCTAAACAATACGGCAGGAGTAATTGATAATTTGTGAATTGTGAGTAGGAATTAAAATTCAGTAAACAAAAGAACACTCCGAGCAGGCACGGAAAAGGGAGGGCGATGACGCTTTCTTTTCCGGTGATGTTTTGGCTGGTCGGGGTCATCACTGTTATTTCGAATTCAATGTTGCGGGCGAGTTCGGCCGCAACGACTACAGGGTTTCCCCATCATGGCGAAGGGGTACGGGTGATCCTCAGACGCCGAGAAAAAAGCGGTGCCGGACAAAACTTGACGAGGCTGGAACGTGTTCAAGGCGCCGTACAGCGCGACGCTGAGAGGCTTGCTGGCCTCTTAGGTGTGGCGGCATCGGAGCGAGGGGTGATGAATTCAAGTGTACACTCCTCTCGCTCATCCGGCGAGTTCTGGATGGACCTATCGATTGGGACTCCGCCAGTGGCGTTGAGATTCGTTATCGACACGGGCAGTGACGTGATTTGGACTAATAGCCACAGTAGCGACTCCTCTAGTACCTTCCAGATTTACCCCTGCTGCCCGGCGTTGCTGCGCGATGAAGGTACTGTTATACAGAAACTTAGATGCGTCCCGGGGAGTAAAAAGCTTACAGTCCCCGGGTGCGCCTACAATAGCAGTTACCGCGATGGGTCATGGAGCTGGGGCCATATTGCGGCAGAGAGCTTTACATTTGAATCAGGTAATGTCACGGTCGAGAGCGTGGCGTTCCTTTCGGCCGATACAATAGGATGGCCACCATTTGCTAGCAAATCCTCCTCTGGGTTGGTCGGTCTCGGCCGCGGCAACATGTCCTTGGTCTCGCAACTCAATGTCTCCCAATTCTCGTATTGCTTAACCGACGCCGACAGCAATTTAGTCAGCACGCTTACACTGGGCGGCAGTGGAGGCGCCGCCCAGAAGAAGAGAGCTGGCGGAATATCCCCTATAACAGCCGGCCGTTTATTAGAGAGCCCAAAAAAGGCTCCGTACTCGTCGTTTTATTATGTTGCCATTAAGGGGATATCCGTCGGGGATACCCTCCTGGACGTGCAGGAGAGGGTGTTCGAGGTGGACGGTGAAGGGAGGGGCGGGATGATCATCGACTCCGGCACCACCCTCACGTACCTACCGTCGATGGCCTATAACGCGCTCATAAGTGAGGTAGAGAGCCAGTCGGGACAGTCACATCCGATAGAGGGCTCCAGATTGTGTTACCCGAGGACGAGCTACCCGCGCAGCCTGAACCTGACCATCCATTTCGACAACAACGAGAAGCTGACCATCCCCTCAGAAAACTGGTCCGTCACAGGAAAGATAGATGAACACCATTTCGGGACGTGTTTGTTATTTGGCGAGGCCTTGGACGGCGAGCCTGGAATTTGGGGAAATATTCTGCAGCAGAATATGTTGGTGACCTATGATCTGGCTCATAGCGCTCTTTTCTTCGAGCCAAAAACGTCGTGTGGTTAATCCCTCATATCATCCATCGCACCTTTCTACTTACGCACCCAATAAGCTTAATTCATCTTAGACAGACCGTCATATATCGATCCATCAGTTTGTGCTCATCGCCGACCATATGTTTAAATTAAGGATTGCCATTCCTAGCTTCCTGTTTCCTAGTTTGTGTACGTTTTAAATCTACTACCTCCGTCTCAAATTGATTTGCAAATTTGACTTTTCTTGGTCAAACAGTTTCGTTTTGTTCACTTAATTAGGATGCCAATTTTTAATTATATTATAATTTGGAGTTTATAACTTTGAAGAGATTTTAATGTAGTTTATGAATATGTAAATTTTAATTGTTAAAAATTGAATTAATTAGCCATACGGAGCATTGACTTTTAATATTGGTTGACCAAAAAATGTTGACTTTGCAAAACAAATTGGGACGGATGGAGTATTTGTTAGTACTTGGTCCATTCATCTTACCTGTTTGTCTTAAATCGATCCATCTATTCCTGGGAATTAGTTCGCTTATACATGTCACTACAAAAAAACAACAATGATATTGGTACGAATTTGGTGCCAATTTACTAAACATAACCAAATTTACTAAAAAAAATTCATTCTTTCAATCTTTTAAGAGGATTACATGAATCTTATATTTAGGAAAGAAAACACTCTTAATTGTATTTTAGAAATTTTCCTATGTTTAACTGTTCTTTTAAAAAGTTTCCTATAAAATTTGAAAAAATTGCTCTTAGTAGAACCAAAATATAGCGTTCTTCAAAAAGTAGGACTTATTTCTTGTTTTCCTTAAATAGGATTATAGGACTAATCATTCCATTTTTTACTCTAATTTAATTAATTAGTTCATTAACCTAATTAATTGTCTCTAATTCCCTCTGATGGACCGCCGACCTAGGGGTAGCCAGAATCCAAGAATATTAGCAACCCGCACATTAACATGACCAGGATAAAGCGGCGAAGTCTGGTGCCTTATGCGCTCCAAGTGTAAAACAGTGTCGCGGCAAATTTTGCGATATGCTTCCTAGAGCATGCCTGAGATCCGACTGTGCACATAAGTAAGGTTTGTTTCACATCTGTTTTGTTTCTTTGGCTTTCTGATTGATCTTGTTCCGACTGAGCGTGTGACTCTGGCTGTGGTTGATGGGTTTCGTTTGTAAACGTCATTTGAGTATTGTGTTGTGCTACTACTCTAAGATAGTTGTGTGGTTATTAGGCTTTTATCTTTCTAATCGAGAAAATAGTTTTTTACTACAATGGGCTAGTGTTTGAATCTAGAGCTCTCGATGTTGGTGCGGGGATGGAGACAACCCACATTTCTCAGTTGTAGCTAGGGTTGTAACGGACAAATTTGTCCAACCTATCTTCTTCTGTGAGACTATGGCAATGATATGGCCCCCGAGCAAAGGGGTGAGTATTGAACAAATCGGAGATATGCGGTTCATGATCCAATTCTATCATGAGACTGATTTCTCTCGAGTATTACAAGATGGACCGTGGTCGTTTGATCATAATTTAGTAGTTATCAAAAGGGTGGAAGCGAAAGATAGACCACTTGAGGTAGAGCTAGATCATGCATGTGCAGTTCTAGGTTCGTTTCCATAACATACCTCTAAGCTTTATGATGGAGACGGTGGCCACAGGTTGATTACAAAACCCTAAAAGGAAAACGCAAGGAGTATGTTCTCATCCGGGTATCAATAAATATCAAGAATGCGTTGAAACGAAAGGCACGGGTCAGAGAAGAAGGGGATAACTAGTTTTGGGTGTACTTTAAATATGAGTGGCTCCCCAACCTTTGTTTTATTTGTGAAGTGTTGAGCCACACTGACCGATATTGCTCATCTACTACTAGTTCGGGGCCTTGGGTGGGAGAGAAGCCTTATGGCCCTTGGATGAGGGCAAATACGCGACGTGTAGGGATTCATCCGAGAAATAAATGGCTTATTCCGCGTGAAGGGCGTGAGTCAACACATGCCAGGGAAGATAGAGAAGGCTGGGTAGCTGACAGGGATACAAGACAAGGCAACAGAGGCTGGTTGTTACTTGGTCCAGAGACTTATTTCGAAAGGAAAAGAAAAGATGGGAGTTGAGGAGGAGCATAACCCAGCAAGAGCCCTTGAGGAAGCAGAGTCTAGGAAACGTAGAACAGTGGATCTGCAGAATCTAGTGGATGTGCAAGTTCATATGGAGGTAGAAGAAAATGGGACAAAAAACGGCTCAATGGCGGTGCTTCTGGATCAGCACCGCCTGGAATACTACTAGGCCTTGAGAGCGAAGTGTTTCCTTTGAAGGTGGCTGGAGCTATTGTATTGTTTTGCCGAGGATAAATAGACTTGTCACACGAATTGTCTTTGTATGTGATCATATGTAAGTGGAGGCAGCGCATCAGGGTTCTTCAATTGAGCCGAACTAAAAGACATAAAACGAGATTGGAGATTTTCCCAAAAAACACAAACTTATTTAAAAAAATAAATCCGTGAAGGCACCATTTGATTCAAACCAGTTAGAATACTCTCCATTAAGTGCTTCACGGTTAACAGTCAAAAGAGGGTGTGGTTTAAACATGAATAGAAAATTACATGGTCACACACCAACATACCTAAACGATATAAACGATATGGATCATTAACATTTAAATTTAAATATATAATTATAAAATATTAACACACAATTCCAAGTACGGATTTCACACTATATCCCTATTGGGTCAGACTCTGCATAAGGGGGTTTCAGCTGTAACCCCCTCCACTCATATTCAAGAGTGATTAGAGAGCCACAATATTTACTTATGTCACATACACTTAAAATGTTTTTATTTGGACTTATTTTAATTCCATACCAGACCGGTCCAAAATTCGACAGTAATAAGATCAGAAAATTCGGTCCAATTAAAAACATCCTTGTCTACATAATTTTTTTTTTTTTTTGGATGAAATGTAAATATATATTAACACCCAAGAAAATATACATCATAAGGTATAGGTCTAGATCGCCTAAAACCTCCCCCACTCCTACATAGTGTAGGAGTTATGAGAGGTTTTTAATTGATCTATGTCTAATTCATGAAGCAAAAACAAGGCCTAAGTATACAATACTAAATGCCTCAAAAACTCAAAAACGTAATGGTGCTGCTAGTATGCTCGCACACATCTCAAAAACACAAAATGTGACCAAGAGTAGCCATGAGGTCATGGTTGATAATCTTCAAAAACCGTAGGTTATGCCGCGGCATGCCATCTTATGCTTTGCATACCCGATCTTCAGAATCTAATAAGGTCGTATGGGTATAGTGAGTAAATTATCTTGTAGACGACTTGCTTGATCTTCGCAATAATGTCTTCTTCCTTCATCAGGCCTCCGTCGAATCTACTAGCGTTTCTGGCCCGCCATGTGTAATAGACCGTAGCACAAAAAGCCAGTCTCACCGCCTTCGCCTTGTCTACATAATGAAATCATAGACGGTGGAGAATGTTAGTTTGTCATTTGTTGACGAAATCTGTGTAAGCATGTGGATATCAATAGAGTTCAGTCTGACATCCTCATCAATTGAATTCATCTTTATGAGGTTTCCATTCATGTAATTTCATTTATAATGGAAACTTTAGATTTTATGTGAACTTCCCAGCACAATTTTTTTTTTTATTTTCCGCAACGCTACATTTGCCCTTAATCCAACAATGGTATGAAAGCGTTGAGCTCATTGTTGTACACTTGTACTGGTTGCATGACTCGCATCATTGGATTATTTTATTCAAACTCTACACTTTAATTTGATTATTGCATATTTTAATAATTAAAATTCAATTCAGAGGAATATGTGTACACAATTCCGAAATTTTAGTTTGTAATTTGCTGAATTTCTAGTCTCGTTTATAGCTGAATCACGATTGTAGCAGATTAGTTTGTAAGTAATACTACCTCCGTCCCACTAGCCAGCGGCGGACGCAGGATTTCCCGATAGCAGGGGCGGCAGTACAAGAATATACATACAAATACATATATATTAAAAATTTCGGGGTAAATATACCTAGAATTTTTTTTCCCCAGAGGGGCGGCAGCCCCCATGTGTGTCCGCCACTGCCACTAGCATTGGGGCAAAAGGGGGTGGCACGATTATTAAGAAATTAAAAGTGGGTTCATGTAGTTGATATTAAATTGATAAAATAAGAATAAAATAAAAATGATTCAGAACCACACAAACTTTACCAGCAAATATGGGACAATCTTAACGAGATTTTCCTGAAAAGAAAAAATGAAACAGTCTTAGCGGGACAGAATCACGGACGGAGTATGATCGAATCAGAAATGAGTTAATTATCAAAATATGACTAAAAGTCATTCACTTTGCACAAATAGGACCAAAAAATAAACTATGTTTCCATAGGACTAATTATATGTGTCTTGGACAAATATACCCTTATACCTATTGGAATGTTTTAATTCATAATAAAATAATAAAAAATAATAAAAATTCGTAAAATATACCAAAAAATTAATAAAAATATTTTGAATAATAATAAATTTTAAAAAAAAATTAAAAAAAATAAAAATAAAAAAATTTAAAAAAAAAATCAAAATTTTTTTTTGTCACCGCCGCCTCTGCCGCCCCAGCACCACCACCTCTAGTCATTTGGGGAAAAAATGCCAAATTTATTATGAATTCCATATTTTTGGCATAATTCAGAATGATTTAAGATGGAAGAAATAAAATGTTGGCATTGTCAAAGAGAAATATGCCATATTTTGGCATTTTCCGAAAAAAATGGAAGTTTGTAGGAAATATGACTTTATTTTAACGGTCGGAGGTGGTGGTGCAGGGAGGCGGTACCACCACCTCCTGTCACCGGGGTAAAAAAATGCCAAAAAAATTATGAATGCCATATTTTTGGCAAAAGTCAAAAGGATTCAAGTTGGCAGAATGAAAATGTTGGCATTCTCATAGAGAAATATGTCATTTTTGTGGAATTTAAAAAAAGTGGCATTTTTACACCGATCGGAGGTGGTGGTTCAGGGAGGTAGTACAGGCGGTGGGAAAGGTATCCATATTTTTTTTAATTTTTTTATGGAGTTTTACTATTTTTTATTAATTTTCCAAAAAAAATTAAATTTTTTTTTCTTATTTTTTATTTTATAAAAATTTTATTAATTTTTTTATTATTTTTCTACGAGGTATTTACCTAAATAGGAGTAAATCAATCTTTAATTGCCAAAATAGGACTAAAATTTAAAAATTTCCTAAATAGGAGTTATTATGTGTAAGTAGACAAAAACGCCCTTGAAGCTTGAAAGTCACACTGCCCCTGAACTGAACACTGGACCACCATCATTAGTCGGTCGCCGCCATCGCCACCGGTCACCGCCATTGCCGCCGGGCACCGCTGCCGGCTCAAAAACTGTCCGCCGTTGCAGATCTGGCCGCCGCTAATCCAGATCTGGCAGGGGTCGCCGGAGATCTGGCCAGATCA